TGACTATGTTTATTGATGCTATCGTTCAGGCTCTAACAGACACCATGTGAAAGTAGTACTGTATGTAACAGAAGCCTATTTTACAAAATTGTGTTCAGTTTATTTCTGTCATTCTGTAATTGTTTAAAACGTTTTGTAATTTAAGTTTGAGGAGGTTGACAAAACAGTAAAAAAGGACTTTAAAGTAACTTAATTCCAATTACAAACTCAGCTGCAAAGATGTACTGTAAAAGGCTGCATGCCATTTTCAGCAATGCCATTTGACTCATGGGTCACCCTGGTAGCTCACCTGGTAGAGCTGGCACCCATGTATTAATGCTGAACCCTTGCTGCAGCGGCCATAGGTTCAACACTGACCTGTGGCCCTCTGCTGCGTCTCTCTCTCTCTCTCTCTCTCTCTCTCTCTCTCTCTCTCTCTCTCTCTCTCTCCCCCAATTACTCTTCAGCGGTCTCTATCAATACAAGCAATAAAAGCCCCAAAATATCTAAAAAAATAAATAAATTATTAAATTAATTAGTACAACTTGTCAGTTGCAAAAGACCAAATTGCCGCTCAAAACATTTTTTTTTAGAGGGGCAGCATTCCTGGTTTATGTAAGATGTCATAACCACAATGTATCCAATTCCATTCTGACTGAGAACTTTCTTGCATGTCATGCCTACCCTCTTCCTAACTATATAGGAACAGGGTATATATTTTTTATTTAACAAAAGAAATTAAAAATGACTTGGAAATCAAGTCATTTGCAGAGCACAGTCAAAATGTCCTGAAAGATCGCGAGGTGGAGAGGTGAGGTAATTTTAAAACACAGCTGTAATTTATCCACTTTACACTTCATGCCCCTTTAAAGGCTGAAAAATAGTCTAATAGAATCAAAACTGTATATCATCAAACTAAATCAAAGCTATTTTTGTTGCCCATTGCAATACATAACATTTTGGAGATATAAGGTTTTCATCCGACAGTGACAATTACTGAGCGTTTTGTGCAGCGACCAGGAATTAAAAATTCTTGGATGCAGAAACATATCTGGCTGAACCTACATATTTTGGATTTCTTAGAAACAGCAAAATCCTAATGGAGGCTCTGCCTTCCTCGGGCTCCACTCTCCATCCTGACCTCTGCCCTCGCCTCACTGCATCACTCTCCTCAGCCTAAACAGGAGAGCGGATGAAGCTGTACGATCAGAGTTTCCTCTCGCTCTTCCCTCCTCTGTTCAGCCGCGTGTCAGAGCAGCCCTTAGAGAGCACAGAGGGGCTGGACGCTGGTCGCCTCCTCAGCGCCACTAACGTCTCTGCCGGTGGCCCCCCACCTCTCTCTACAACGGGAGCCTCGGATGTAAGAAGGTGATGACCCTCATAGTCAGCCCTGCCCTCTCTCCTGCCTCAACTTTCATCACCATCCCGTCAGCCCACACTCGAGCCCTCTGCCGCCACCTCGCCAGGAGCGAGAGCGTAAACAGTAATGGCTACATAAATTATGTTACACTCTGTGTTTTTCACATTTCTCCCTCGGCACTCTTGATGATACGCTGATATACTGTACTGTAGGCTGACAGTACAGGTTGATAAGTGTGGTTGTAAAAAATAATGTTGGTCTATAAATCTCTGCTGTGCTTATTTTTGTTCATAAAAAAAACACATTGTGGATAAAAGACAAGGAATACGTTGTACATATGCCACAGTTTAAGGTAGGAGAGAGGAAAAAAGGTCACGCTATACTGATGATTGACAGGTATTCTTTTACAGACGGTGGACTCGAGCTATACTCGCCCAGATGTTCCTGTACATCACCGGACTGTCACACACCTCCAAAAAGAATTTTATTTGTGGCACTGACACCCCTGAGGGACATAACCATAAATCACAAGGCTGTGATTAATTAAGAGGCAGACACACAGCGTGTCCATGAATTCTTCTAAGAGCGATGACACTGGACAAACACAGTGCTTAAGGGAGGGCAAACAAATGCAGAGCGAGGGGCACATCCGCACAATGCCGAGCTGACAGGAGCACTGTAACCTGAATGCGAGGAGGCAGCGGTTGGCGAAGTGCGAGTGAAGAGCAGCATTGGGAGCTAAAAACACAGCTGTGTGTGTGATTTCTAGGAATTTGGCGCTTGGGTGACACGAAATGTCAGCAAATTAATCTCTGATCTTTAATCTGCGGTCTGAAGCTATTTGTTTTGCACTCTATAGGCGCCCCATAAATGAACAACTGCAAAGAAGAGTTTGGGGGGGGATTAATAGAAGTTGTGGGGTGGAATCTGCTTACAAGCTTTTGAATACACACATAAGTTTTAGTGAGTCCATCTACAAATAATCTGCAGACTTTTCAAAGGATTAAGACCCAAATGTCAAGCAATAATCCCTCTGTGACTTTTTTTGCCTTAAGGTCTATAAAAATAATTGTGTGGAATCTCAAGATGATCAGTTGGCATTTGAGATGAAGGATAATAATGATAAAAAAATTAATTTAAAAAAAATGCTCAATCCGGCTTTGCGCAATTTTTTGGTCAAGTTTGAAGTAGGAAATAAATCCTTCTATCTGAACTGTGCTCTTATTTTGACAGTTTAAGACACATTTAAAAATTCTGTGTTTCTGAGAGAGAGAGGGAGAAAAAAACCCACAACCACAGAGAGAAACACACTCAAACAGAAAATACCAGATCTGACTGAATGTTTGAGCTGCTGCTGCACAGTGAGCCCACCTCCTGCAGCTTTGGAGGAGTCAGCGGCCATCAGCACTTCCCAAAGACACAGTTCATTTACAAGCGGTCCCTGAACTGGCCCCTAATGTCCCGTGTTATCAGAATGAATCAGCAGCGCTGATAAATTAGCCGTTCGGAAACACACTGCGAAGGCCTGTCAGCTAATGTGCACGCGTTTGTGTGGTACTCATATGCAATGCTTAATGTTGTGGAACCAATTCTGTCGTTTCCATTATGTAAATACATTTGCCTCAGCACTATATTTTATGTATTGTCTCCCTTGTCTCAATTACTTGGGCTATTAAAAATCAAGAGGTTATGGAAATGAGGTGCAGTTGTCTGTTTGTAGTTTGATGACAAGTGCAAAGTGTTTATGAAAGCTCGTTATGCATTCAATTGCAGTCGGATACGTCAACACGCTCCGAGCGTTCATCCATATTCCACAATGCAACGGGGTGGCAAGGCAGTATCTTCAAGCATAAACAACACTAACAGTTGTGTTATCGTCGGTTATACATATAAATAAATAAAAATAAATGTGCTATTGCTGTTTTATTTAGATCTTCTCTGCTTTCTTACAGAGGAGGCAGAAAATGTGAAAGTGGAAACAAAAAGATATTTCTGGTTGTGTTTGTGGCCTGTGCCAGAGAAAATAGTGTGTGATGCTTCAGTTTGGGTAACTTACTGTTAATTAGCCAGAATACCTCAGGAAATAATCAAGAAAACTAAATCAGGGAGAATCTCCTAGGAGGCAGTTAAGCTTTTAAGTATTGCAGCTTCCCTGACATATCCAAACAACTCCTTTCTTAATCTTTATTTTTAAATGTCATTTTCCCATGTTTTTCACTGTGAGGCAAAATGTGAAATAAGTTGGTGTAAAATTACTCCAAAATCACAGATTCATTTTAACAGTGAACAACATTAAACTGTGACCACTTTGAAATAGACAAAATAAAAAAATTAAAAAACCCACCACAAATTCTCCAAGTGAGAGGTGGTGGGATGGAAATGTGTGATCAGTCAAAGTGCTGAAAATTATTATTTAAAAAAAAAAAAGTCAGTAAAAGCATAAAAAGGTATAAATGTGTATCTGTGATTGGCAGCAAAAGTGTACATCTCCCTCCAGGTTCCAGAGCATTAAACCACACAGGGAATTTGCTTAGCATGAGCTCTGGTCAGCATCTATTTCAGCACGGCTAAAAGAGCAAATGTTACTTTGTTATTAAGACACTGAAAATCAGCATGCTTTCCCTTTTTGATTACTGGTAGAATTAATAGACAGTATGTCTTAAAGGTTTAACGCACTGATGTCACACACACTCTTTCATTAAGTCTACTCTCTGCAGTAGTTTGAGAAATTTTAATTCAAAAATACACACAAATAAAAATAGTGGCATGAATTTAAATATTATTCTAAAAGACTGAACCACTAATGGTATTTTTCTTCTCCTTTCCTCTCCCTGTTGAAGGCCCAAAACTGCTTCTCAAACTTGAGACTTTTTAGTGTTTAGTATGGTTGAATTAAGCACAGCAGAGCACTAAAGTTTAAGCCTTTAATGAAGCAGAAAATAGTTTAAAAAGAGACAACGGAAAAAGAAACAAGCTCTGAGAAATTATTCGGAACAGGAGTAGTGAATGTGAGGGTGTTAGTACTACTGCATACAGCGGTGACATTTAAGTGCTCTCCTTAAAAAATCTTTTAGTTTTATTGGAGTGCATGTGGCGCCTTGCTCTCGCTTTACCCTATTAGTGTAAATGTGAAGTCACTAACAGAAACGGATTTAGTAATCTGATTCAAATGATGGAGGAAATCCGTGCTGTTTGCAGTGAGGAAGTTCAACGCGGTGCGCTGACAACGTCGAGACCTGTTCGGATGCATCAAGAATCCGGTGTTAAATAAGAAAGGCGAGCCGCTTTCCTGCACATGGACACGTTCAAAACTTCTATTAAAGCGAATCGGTCGTTTTCATTCCCCTCGCTGTCCTCCTGGGAGTCAGAGACAGCGCAGGCTTTTTGAGGACAATAGACGCAGCAGCAACTAAACTTTCCCAGGCGAACACAATGCGCCACTGAGAGCGGACGGCACGTCTCGAACAGGAATCATTTCTCCGTGTCCACTGTGGGAGAATTTGCAGGAAGCGGCCGCGGACAGTGCGCCGTGCGGAGGCTGGAGCAGCGCGAGGTCGACCGGGCCGCCGTGCGCTCCGACGCCCCGCCAAGGTGCGCGCCACCTCCGCCCGCGCTGCGAAGGGAAGACACACGAAGGGAAACAAGTGCTGTAAAGTTGTACCTTTTCTCTTCGATCGCCTCCTCCGTCTCCTCTTCAGCTTGCATTTGACCTGGCCGCTCTGAGCCCCCGACGCGCGGCTGTTGTTTCCAAGTACGGATGCCATCAGCGCAGCCTTTGGAGCGAGGCGCAGGAATAACTTGGACTCGGCGGCTCGACTCTCCTTTGTACTTGTCTCTCTTCAGCCTCCGTTGCTCTCTGATAACGCAGCGTCCTCGGCTTTGACGTAGACTCGGACTTTATTTTCGGCTCTCCCTCCTTTTTTTCTTTTTTCTTTATCCCTCCAAACCAGGGGGGAGCGCGTCTTGCTGTTCCTGTATCACCTCTGAAACTCCAGCTCGCCTCCAGCTCACGGAGAGACCGTTTGCAGCGCAGCGTGGCAGCTCTCAGCAGCACTGATACCGGCGCCCCGTCTGCTCCGCTCCTCTCCGACAGTTTTCCGCGCCTCTGCAGAATATTTGGCATCAGCCACTTTGGATTCAATCATGCAGGACGCCTATCTATTTGCTGCCGAGCTTTCTAATTAGGGTCCAATCGTGGCTGTCTGGGAGGTGTGACATCACCGGCGACACCCACCAACTCACACCCCTTATTCACCCGCTGCTTTTTTAAATGTTTGTTACATTCAGGACTTATTCCCTCGCACTTTTTTTCCACACTGCAGGGGGAGTGTGTTCTCTTCCGCCCTCCACAGGGAGGTGGGGGGGTGGGGGTCAGGGGTCAGGCTGGTAGGGATTCTTGCTCAAGGGCACTTCAGCAGGTCGGATGTTTTGCAGCATGATGAGGGACTTGAATATGGTTATCCTTGCTGGCGGACTGTTTCCATGCTTACTACGTGCCACCCTGCTGCAAACTCACCACCAACTCCAGGCTAAAAGAAACAGGGTGGTGGTGTTCCGGACAGAAAAAACATAAATTCTCCTCTCCACACAGTCCGCTGTTGAAGTCCGTGAATCCTTCTCCTCTCCCTCCTTGTTTGTCCACCGAGATTTGGGATTTATCATTTTCTTGCAGGATTATGGATCTGAAAGAAACTCCCTCTCATTCCAACTCCGCTCTAAATTCACTGACAAGTCCTCAAAGGGAGATTACTCTAAGATGCACAATGTTCAATACGCACACACTCAACAAATACATCTTTGATATACTGAGTCAAATTCTGTTTTCCAGCTTTATAATTACACTAGCCTCCTAATTAAAAAAATAATATGTCTTCTTTTATTTTGAAAATCCTGCTTGGAGGTTGCAGGTGACCTTCATCACAGTCGGCACAAACTCTTGTGACAGTGTGTTGCAGTCGCAAAGTTTGAAGAATGTGACATTTTGGCATTTTTGTGTGAAAGTGCAGTGTCGAGGCTTTCAGAAAGCATTTGTGGCTTTCCTAGCTGGAGGTTATTGTTTTATTCCCCCAGCCTCCACTGTGGAAGGTCAGGTGTGTGTTGGGAGGAGGCGCCATGGTACTGCTAGATACAGTCAAGGCCAGTGCAGTGAGGGAAAAAAATGCACATTTGTTAGGGCCTCATCAAACACAATCTTAGTTAGTTTTGTTAGTTTGTGCTTTTGCGTGCGCTATTGAATAAAGAGAAGAATGACATCTTAAAAAATGAGAAAAATTGGTCTTCTATTGCCTGTAAATGCTGTTATTTTCCCCTAAAAACACCTTCTTTACCCTCACCAACTCTCATCCATTTGAATGTAAAAAAAAAAAAAAGACAAACAATTCATTTGCAGAAAAAAAACAAAAACAAAACAGATGTCAGATTGAAAAGTCACTTTGAGCCTCTGTTGTTGGGTGGAAACATTTCCTCCCGGCCCGAGGGGCAGAGAGAGAGGAGGGAGAGGGGGAGGAGGAGGAGGAGGGAGAGGGTGAGGGGCAGTCCGCCAGGCTGCAGCCTGCCCTCAGGACGCCCACAAATATCCATGTAAATTGCAGTTTAAGAGAAATCAATACAAGTGACAAGTTGCCAATGCCACTATCTGGGGCAGTAATGAAGGTGTGCTAGCAGGGGGGCTGGAGCATACATAGATAACAGCAAACGTGCTGGGTGGGGCCGAGGTACAGGTCAGAGGCCCGTGCACAAACACACACGCACACAGACACAGACAGAGCAAGGTCAGTAGCTGTTGGTGGATGTAAAGTTCCACTAAGGGCTCGGAACTAACCTGGATTACCTCTGCAATTAAGACTCATACATCTCCATGTGACATGTGTCATTGTTCTTTTACATATTTGTTCACAAAATGCCGCACTATATGCCGCACTATTTGCCACACTGATAATGTTCTACTTTAACAAAATAAATTCCATGTTTTAGCATTTCTGAAACGTTTGCTCCAGGTTAACAGAAACAAACTGCATTGTAAATGGCGAGTTCAGGAGATAGAAGTTAGCCAGACTTCATTTTGTGGTTCATTTTAACAGTGGTTCAGAAAAAAGATTAAAAAAAATCTTCATTGCAGTCTTCAAATAGCTAATTTTGTCGGGTCAACATCCCAAATAAATTTAATTTATAATGACATAAAACAGAGAAAAGCAGCAAATCCTCCCATGTAAGAAGCTGGTACGAGTTTTGTTGTTGTTTGTTTGGCATTTCTGCTTGGAAAGTGACTGATTCTAACAGACAAAAAGTTGCACATTTATTCTGTCAGTCAGCTAATTAATATTGATCCAGGGTACTTTAAATTCCAGGTTAACCTCAGACACGAGGATGCGGAAGATATGGAGCTCCCTTTATAATAGCTTATTTGCTTAACCCCGTGTACAGAACTAATCTGTCTAAATTTAGGTGTGGTAGTCATAACATTCCTGCTTTAAAGAAGAGATATTTATGGGACCAAGTTCAAGTACTGTTCGTTTGACAAGGTTTTTGTGATGAGAGAAACAGATTAGTTGAATGATACTACAGAATGAAACCTGCTCATCTGTATATGAATGTATTTATTGACTTTTTAATGTATTGTATTTGCCCATTACTGTGCAATAAGTGTCACTGCCCACTTACTTTCTATCTCTTTCTTTAGTTTCTTTTGTAGGTATAATGAGTCATTATACCTACCTTGTAACACTGGTTGAATGTGCAAACCCTGGAGATTTCTACACTTTCCATGTTTGCTCACAAAATTTGCTTTTCATTTCAAGGAAAGGAGAGAATGGTGCCACTGAATATATGTCTTATTTCAGGAATTGGTCAGGGACTGATACTTGTGTGTTAGAGAATGTTAATGTAATATCAAAGTTGAATCTGGACTTGAAAATGATCTGTATTTGACAATCCCTATGAAATAAACACACTACAAGTTGTGGCATGTGTTCTCTGTTTCTGTATTTACTCACTAGAAAGATTTAGCCAAACACTTGGCATTAGTTTGATGTCATATCTACGGATTAAAGAGTTAGATTTAAATTGAGATTACAGCAAACACATGGCAACAACTCCACTTTTTTTTTCATCATCAAATCAGACACCTGCAATCTAAGATAAGGAGGCCAATCAGTACGCTGTTCAGACACATTCATTTTCTGCACTTTCGATTTCGATTTGGCTGTCTAAAAATTAAGAAATTATTGGTCTACATGGCTCTCACAGCGCTTTTTCTTTGTACTGTTTTTGCTGTTTTCATTATTAGAATAATTAATATAACACTTTCACTGTTTCCATGGTAATACATCTGTTGTTCTCTAATGAAAATACTGTAATTAACATTTATTTTTCTTTACTCACAGTAGAGAAAGAGCATGTGTCAACATTCAGCAGAGCTTTAGCCTTGAGACATCTTTTGAGGAGATTGAAAAGAAAGCTGTCCTGCCTCTTGAGAAGTCTGCAGCTCATGCAAACAACAACAATCCAACGTGAGTCAGGCTGTATTAGACATATTTATAGTTTTGTCACTGACACCCATTATATTTTATTAGCCTGTTTGAACCGGTGTTTGGTGCTTTGCAGTGCTTTTGTCTACAAGATGTCTCATTTTGCTTCCAAAACTGTCATCTTCTAACAGTGTTAATGTAAAAAGGAAACAAAAATGTCCAATTACCCAAAATATTCTCCTTTAAAATGCGGCAAATCACAGCTTTGTTCTGTCTACTTGATAGAAATGCTGCATGCACACTGTGCAGGTAATGAGAATATGAGTGGATGCAAATAGGCTGTAATGTGGGAGTGTGTTACACATGCACTATGCTTTTCCTCTTTTACGCTCCGAGGTTCAGTCTGCACCATCACACTTGTAGCAAACACTGTCACTGCTGCTAGCTGCAGGCACTAGGAAGAGTTGATTTTAGCTAAGACTTTACTGAGCCAAGAAATCAAATGGGAAGTCGGCTCATTTCTCCATACGACTGCAAGGTGTCTGTCTTTTATTGCAGCCAGTGGAGCTGCCCCCTGCTGACCACTGCACAGAATGCAGGTTTTAAGACACTCTTAAGTCAGATTCACTTCACAGACCCAGAAGCTGTGTCCACACAGAATTAGCCTCTCTGAGCTGTTAGCTAAGCTAGAGCTAACATTACCCCACATGTACCATACTTTCACAAATGGCCATGAATGTGCCTCCAGTGACTGTAAAAGCTCCAGCGCGGACGTGGAGAGTCTGACTGCAGCTGCTTCTGGCTGGTTAGCTCTGTTAGCTCTGACAAACAACAGCTGTACTCCTGCTACACTGAGCAATAGTCAGTTTGTCACTCTGGTCAGTGTTACCTCACAAGTCACACATGAATGTGAAGTAAACTGAACTGGATACACATGCAACATAATGGCTAATAATGAGCAAACAGGACAATCATTAAGTCGAAAATGTAATAAAGCGTGGTTAAATGTGATATATGGTAAAAACATACTGCAATTACTTTTGATAGATATTGCAAAAAAAGTGTGTATAGCACTCATTCATAGCATTCATAGTAAGAAGCTGATTGAGTTTTCTGAGCCTTATTGAACAAACGTTCGGAAGTGATCAACCAACAGCAGCATAGAAATGACTGATTGCTCTTTTTGTGGATCAGTGGGTCACTTGGTCAACGTTTTAACAGAGCACAGTAGGACATTTGTGACAGCTGTCATTCCTGGATAAAACATCTGGATGGATACCTATTGTACAAATCCAAAAAGCTTTATTGGTCCTGATTTTAATTCTGTAGATTTTGGCTACGGGGCGTAGATTACTTTCATTCTAATATCGGGATGTAGATAATCTTTTATTTAACTTACCGTCTACCACGTGACTAGAGTTGAGGGTATACACATACAGTAGCATGGATCATAAGTAACAAAATAAATGGAAGACTCCTCTCAGCATGAGGTGTTAAGTGTATTATGAGCAGAAGGTTGTTTAACCTG